ACCATTCTGCGCATTCTATTTACTCTTCTTGTCGTTAGATCCAACTGAACCGTTTCCGACAAACGCAGTGCTGATAAGTTGATTAGAAGGCGTTACACCTGCTGAGAAACGTCAGCAAGAACGTTGATAAGCTTCACAGCTTTTCGCCTGTCTAAGCCATGCGGGTATTTATCCTGCTTCTGTTCATCGTGGGATTCCAATCACTTGAAGCAACGTGTCCGTATGGTGGCATTCAAGCATTTCGTCCAAATCAATGCTACATCGTTTCCAAGTAGGTCTTCCTTTTTAGTCCTTGATTCGATGCAATTATTTCATGCTATCAGGGCCCTTTGAGGGTTCTGCTGCGAAGAGGCATGGCATTGCCATTGCCTCGTAGAACTTGAAATCTATTCTGTAGAAACAACGCCTGCTCATATGGTAGATTTCATTCGATCACCACTTTGAAGATACAGTCCACGCTAACTGTGTAGATGCAAATGGGCGGAGACAGTCAGTGTGGACTTCCCAACTTGGCGCAACTCTCTTCGCCATCACAATTGTTGGCTGTCTTCACCCTCTCTATCAGCGAAGACTGTGCTTTTAAGGTCGACAACTCACCCCTATAAAGCATGTAGATAATGTACAGTTCAGCTATGGAACTTGGAGGGGTATACTGTTTCAGAGGGAAGGGCGTGCGCCATTACTACCTGCGCCATCAGTGGAACATCCCAGCTCAGGGCACTGGGACTATTCAGGGGTGATTGACACCGCATTCGGCAGGCATATGAGGGCAGTGACTTGTAAGCTAATTTAATATGTAGACTAGGCATTATTTGGTTAAGGTATTGGTCATCAGAAAGGGCCATGGGCTGTTAGGCTAAGGGCATGAGCTAGATTACAGAAGCAGCGCCACGCACTAATTTGCGATTCATTGAAAAAAATAGCAACGACCCTGATTTTTGCCGATCGGCTATGAACTATTTACAAGTAGATATGAAATGGAGGTCAAATGCATGGGCATAAATCAAAAAAAGCGACAGTGGCAGAGATCGGGACTTGCGGAGCTCTTTGCGCTTGCAAGTGTATATGAAAAAGTGATGTCAACTGATAGTGGGTGCCAGATGTACCATAACTGATAAGATAAGCGAAATGACGAGGGGTGAAAAACCACTGCCCACCGCTGGCGACGGGCTGATAGTGATCGTTAGATGTCGGGTGATAGTAAGTGGCAAGGAGATGACTAGGAAAAAAGTTTTCACCAAAATGCCCAGGGCAGCGGTTGGAGCCTCCTCCGCATGAGGAAGTTCGTTCCCTAGGAAATAAAATGAGACTCCGGTATTAGAGCGGTACTAGGGCTGAAGGTGGGTGTGTAGGTTCCTGCGCCGCAGCGAGCGCGAAGGAAGAGCAGGTTGATGTGCAAAACATTCGCGCCAGGACCCAAACCAATTAAAGACACTTACCGCGATAAAGTGGTCCTCAAAATGAATTCGTGCTGTTTGGAACCCTCTACGCCTTGACGAAGATGATAGCACTTTCATCCCTCAATATGGCGCGATGAGGAAGTTATAGTTATAGCGGTTTCCACAATGGCTCGCTAGGCTCGCTGAGACGGTAGGTGGACGAGGCGTCCGGTCCCGAGCTGCTTCCGTCCCTTTAACGCCCGCGCGGCGCGTCTCGTGCGCGGCCCTTCTGGCACTTAGCCAAAGTTGGTTTATAGCTGTTTATAGCTGGCTGGAAGCGCAAATTCTTAGAAAAGCATACATAGGATAAGAGAGAGGCAAGAAACTAAAGAAGGCAGTGAAGGAGGATTGAAGAAAAAGCACGGGGAGATGACGTACGAAAGTCTGTTTCTCCCGCTTGTTGCTTAGAGCATCCGCATCGCGCGTAGCAGGAGAGAATATAACAGAACAGCATGAATACTGAGAAGAGCTCCTCTGTTCTCCCCAGCTCCACTCTGACAGAAAAACCCTGTAATTATCAGTGGAACACGTTTTATCGAGACATCGATGCCCGGAATTTCTCGACACACGCAAGTGATGGATTAAACGGGAGCTCTCCTCTCCGACAACCGTCGTCGTATTCAGGAGTAGCTATTTCCGTCAGTTTCCCTATTTCTATTCGAATTCGATAAAATTATCCTATTTCGAAAGTCGGGACGCAATTGCGGCCGCCGCACCGATCCCGGCCAGCCACAGCCGGCGCACTCGTCCAGGCCCCGCCCCCACTGCTAAAGGGAGGTCCGTGTTCCGGGTGTTCGCGAGGTTTTTTTTCCACTGGAGGGTTACAAATGGGCCACTGCTTCGTTACTGCACCAATTCCGAACACTTTATCGCGGTAAGTGTCTTTAAGCGTGGCAGCGCTGCGGCATGTAAACTCCCTATCACGTCATAGGGAATCGTGCAACGGCGCTACGCTGTGTTAACTATCCGAACAACACTGAGCTCGTAAAGGAGTGAAGAACTGCAGAGGCCATGGCTTTCCCCTGGAATTTCATCGAAATGAGGAGTGTTACCAGAACAAAGTAGAGTCAAGTAAGATTTTGCGATACCGTGCGGAGGGTTCTGCAATCCTTTTGGTAACAGTTCGTCGGAGTTTGCTGTAGCCTGCTGTAACTACTACTTCTTTCTTCACAATGAGTTTTCAAGGTAACAGTCGCTCTGAAATTTTCAAGACCCGTCCCTTTGTAGCATCAAGACCAGTTGGGCGTCAGCAGAAAGCGTATGCGGATATCTGGGAGGTCACTTGGTTTCAATACAGTCGGATACGGAAAACGACTACGTTGCACGAGTTATTCGGTGTAAGTTCCTTGACCAGTGTTGCTATACATCTGAAATACAACTGATTCCCGTTTTTAGCTAATACTTACCTGGCATTCAGCGAGGTTTACATTCGGAGCATATGTGAGTGGAGGGACGTGGAAATGGACCGACTATACAGCCGGATTCGCTTACTCGAACTTCAAAGGTTTATTATAACTTTTTCTGCACTTCACTGGCCTCATTTGAGGTTTATTTCTCTCATTTGAGATTGCAAGCTACCTCCCGTCATATCCGCTGGAAGCGCTATGTGAGCAGGCACCAGACAGGCTGGGAGGGGGGGGGTGGCGCTTGAATACCGAGCCGTGTGCACGTCTCTAAAGACTTCTAATAATTTTTGCTGTGACGAGATTTTATAAAAGCCAACCTATTAACTTGAGCAGACGACGGTATTGGCACAACTCGTGCCATTGTTGCAACACGACTTTCGCCTTGGTAGTTATAGAACGGCGTCATAAGAGAGCAGACATGGAGACACCACGCGCGCTGCATGGGGGTCCAGTCTAGGATTGGTCCCCAGCCGAACCACTCAGGAATCGGTAGGTTGGATTGAAAAACATGTGATGAGAGGATCAGATACTGGATCGTAGCACATCTGTTGGCTCCTGAAAGTCCTCATATTCCAACAGTTATCGAAATTTCACCAGTCAGAGAAGAATGCGTGGCGCATCCCAGAGGAGAATAATCACTGGTGTGGCACGTTGCACTTTTGCTACTTGTCGAGTCATCTAGAGAGCTACTTGGGTGAGCTTACAAGAGGTGAAAGGTGAAAGGTTTCGCCATGCGAGCTCAACGAAGCTTGCTCG